AAGTTAAACTTTAGTCCTACATAGGACAATTACTTAGAATGTAAATTATGCTCAAATATTTATATAAGCTTAATAGTATGATGGGGCCATAATAGACCAATGGGACACACGACATGCATGTTTTAGGGGATGTTTGGATCTAATTCTTAAAACTGTTTCTACTCCTTCAAGGAGCAGAAGTAGAAGTTGGAGTACTTGAGTGAAAGTGCAGAAGTGATTCTGGTGCCTTAATTTACTCCTACAATCAGTTTTTTTAGAAGCAGAGGAAGACTAGCTTCTAAAAACTGATTCTGATTCTGCGTCTACTTTAAAAAAGAAGCAGAATCAGTTCCAAACACCCTTATTGTCGTTGCTCTATAAGAGGCTCTATAGTGTTTTACTCTGGTTAACGACTCTCTTTCCCTTGCCCTTGCTCATAACAGGATCTGCTGGTATTTTACTCGTATTACCCACTCACTCATGACTCGCATACATGGCTACATGTCCAAGTTTAAGGTTTAGAACTTAAGAGGTTGACACATTCAAATATTCAATTTAACTTTTCTTTATTCTTTATTTTTTACTCCGTATATGTTATTTCTCATAACATTTTAATTCGACTTTTGTGATTTAACAAAACTTATAGGGGAATTTAATTTTGCACCTCACTTTTTGGTTGATATTGGACTTTGCACCCCATTTTAAAAAAAACTTTGATTTTGCACTCCATTTCATTTCAAAATGCTTTGACTTTGCACCCCATTTAGAAAATTTCCTTCACAAATGTTATATGATAAAGTGCAAAGTCAAAAGGTTTTTTTAAAATGCGGTGCAAAGTCCAATATCACCTAAAAAGTGGGGGTGCAAAAGTCAATTTTATATTGAGAAATCCTTTAGAGTTCTGTGCTTTTCTATTCGATTGAATTTTCCAGATCATGTAAAAGTTAACATTAATAGATGATGTTAAATTGGCCAAATCCTGGCAGTTTAGTAATTTTTGGGGCAAAAAATGAAATGCAACTGATATACTTCTGTAGTATGTATTTAAAAGTTTTCCCATGCAAAATTATGTATTTTTACTTGTCCATAGTGCACTTTAGGAGAGATAAGGTACAAATAATGCTTATTATGCGAATATATGCATCATGAATCTTTACGTTATTTGTACAGTACATTAACGTTCAAAGTATTGCATACTATTTAGCAATGAAACAAGTAGTTGAATATAATTAACGTTCATGGCGTTGCACTTGAAAAAGTTTATTTTTATTACCAAAATGTCATCGTGCGTCTATAATCTTGTGAAGATAACTATACTTCATCGAGAATATGCTCATAAAACTTAATCAAAACATTCGTGTCGGAATCTCATAATCAAATAAGGCGGCGGCACGACGGATCCTATCAAGCCTGACTGATACAATCATTGTGTTGTATGTGTGTGTATATATGTGGTTGGGTTAGTTGTGTATGTATTCCCCACCCCTGTTTTCGTTCTGAAACTAACGCCCTCTGCCCGTCTGGTCAGTGGTCTGTGTACATAATAAATATCCTATCACGCCACTTCGACATTTTTATGGTCAAGGAAAAACGAGGACAGGCTCTGCCCTTCAATCATTTTCCTCCGTTTACTGTTTAAGGTAATGCTTTCATTCAGTTCTTGGGAGAGTGTAATTCGGATCAGTTTCGTTTTAATTTCAAATTGCAGAAGACTGAGGGTTTTGACACAGAGAATTGTTTTTCTTTCTTCTTCATTTTAGCCCATTAGGCTTCGACAGTCTAAACCCTTCGGCCCTTCCTTTACCGGCTACTTAATCGGTCATTCAGTTGAGGAGTTTCGGGATGCATTTAGCCATTTAGGGGCCATGAACATTGTGGGCTGGTACGTACCAGAGTGTAAGATGTGGAAAAGGTGCTCAATTGGATAGTTGATCATCACATTAGCATGTTTTTGCTTGGACTGTATTTCGTCCCAGATCAGACAAGACCAGATCAGACCAGACCAGTTCAGACCAGATCAGACCAGACTTGGATAATTATAAAAATACAAAGAGACCAGACATTATCAGACCAGACCAGACTAGATCAGTAAATTACAATCCAAGTAAAAACATCCTCAGTGGAAAGAAATCATAGATATTGAATAAAGTATAAATTGGCAAAAATAAACAATATATTATTTTGTATTTTCACTTCTTATACATATTAAAAATCATAGATATTGAATAAAGTATAAATTAGGCTCAATCATGTATAATATTTCTTGAATGATTTAATCTTCTTTCTACATATAACACTAATAAATAGTAATCATCAATAGAAATTTAAAGAGCCTTCAATTTTGTCTATTCTCGCCTTGATTTCAAAGACTTGAGACTTGGCCTTGATGCATTGCACGCTTCCCTTTTAGAACACCGACAACGGTGACTAGTTTAGTTGGAACTATATACTCCGTATAACTAAAGGAAATTGCTCTATACAAGAGTTGGAATTGTTTTATTATCTCCAAAATATTACTCCGTTGTAATTATTGGTATCATGAAAAACATTATCAAATGTGAGATAAATATTGTCACAGTATTTTCTAATAAAACAAAAATGAAATTGTAATTTGAGACGGACAGTAGTTTACAATTTCCTATTGTTTTATGAATATTTCAACACAATTAAATATGTATATCCAATATTAGAATCAACTCAGTTATGTTTTCCCCATGCCAAAATTAATTAATTAAACAGTTCACGTTGTTCATTAATTAGTACCATGGAGTGTTAAATTAAAGTTCAACTCCAAATTTATGTGAGAAATTTGGAGTCTCTACTTATTTTATCTATTTAAGTCTAATATAATATCGACTAATAAGACTTGATATTATGTACGGAATACGATATAGTATATTATACTAGTACAATCTTCATAGGCTAATCTAATCTATTTAGTATGAACAAATTACTACTCCGTATATTCTGATTTAAGACAAAAGTCACAAAACCAATCTACATAGGCCATAGGGTAATAATAGACACACATCTATCCCTGTTGTTGGTTGTTAAATAATGTTGGATGCTTGTTAATAATGTATCAAAATTGTGGTGGTGTTTTGATGAATAAAATGAAAATTTCTGCAGGAATGTTTGTGTGTATGTTTGTTAAACTACAATTGACATTGTAGTTTTAAGAAAGTGTTATAAAACAATTTTCTGTTTTAGAAATTCAATTCAAATTTTCTATTATCTCTCAAGTTTACCTAGATTGCATTTTTCGCATTAGACATTTATTTGCATTAAAAATGTAAGATGCATTTAAAATAAAATTTTGGTAGTCATGAAAGAATACATTAATAGAATATTTTATTACTCCGTAATTATTATTTTTGTAAAGTGCTTTAACCACTTTGGAAAATAATAGTTCATCGATAAACATGTTGATATGGGTGTGAAGTTTGTTTGTTTCCTAAATGGGGGAACACTGAGCATAAAATTCTATCCCGTGAGCATGCTAAAGATTGGTAAATAAAATTTGTGTGTCAAAGAAAGAGGGTTAGAGGGGCCCTAAAATGTCTCACCGGGCAAGAAGGTTTGTACTTTATAACCCAAATGGGGGAACAGAAGTCTAGAATTCTTTCCTCAATGGAGGAAAGTCAAATGGGAAAGAACCATTTTGTTCACCACTCCCAATGTCAATGCATTTCTTTGAAATTGTAATGACCTTTTCAATTGTGTTCCAATTTTACAAAAAATATTAAATTAAACAAGGGTCCGTTTGATAAATCGGCTGATCTTGCTCAAATTAATGAAATTTTGATTGAATAAGTTCTAAAGTTTTGTAATCTTCCATATAAAATTACATATGATAAGGTCATATGAAATCAATTAATTTGATACATTTTGATTGTAATTACATTTTGTTCAAAGGGGAGACAAAATTATTGTGGAAATCCTGTGTATTTTCTTCTAACTCAAAAAAATATCATCTGAACAAATAACTCGGCTGCTAAATAACAAAAAAATGAGAAAAATGAAAAAACGTAGCAACAATGGGAAAACGAGGTTTCTCTTAAATATTACTCGGTACTAAATTAAAGCCAATTTTAAAAAATGTCACCATTTTTACAAAATGACAAAAACGTGACAAGTTGTTCCTATTTAAAGAGAAAAAAAGGAAGCAAAGTATTTTGAAATTTTACATTGTGTGTACTCTTATTTCCTCACTTTTTAAGTTAACGTTTTTTCGCATTAAATTTAGCAAAAAAAAAAATAAAAAAATTAGTTTTCGCATTAAATTTAGCAGTCATATTGCAATTTGCAAGTGAACCTGATACAATTTTATTCCTTACCACGTAATAAATTAGTCATAATCCGATACTGCGATTTCTTATGGCCACTGTCCTCAGAAATCAGAACCATCTCTCATATTCAATTCTCCATAAATAAATTAGTCTCACATTACACGGAGTAATGCAGTGGTTTGACCTTCTATACACGTTTATTAAATTACCATGAAATCTTTCTCTTCCCTTTGGTAGTGAAGGGTATTTTAAAATGCACTGCTTTCTTTATTTTTTATCAGTCAAAGTAGCAGCTCTGAAGTAAAAAACTACAATAACAGATTCACCTCCGAACGGCGTTACAAAATGGCGTTCCCGCTTGGTTCTTTTAAGCTAGAGGTAATGAAGATCAAAGTAGTTTCCTCTGTTTCTTATCGAGATGGTGACTCGTTGGAGCAAACTAATAACGAGACATGGTCGTGTTTTACAGGACGATGAAACGGTTCCATATGGATTCGCGATTTGTGTGTTTGTTTACACTTGTGTTCTTGGTCAGTATATCACTTGGATGCGGGGTTTTATTTTTTGGGAGAATTCCCGAAACAGGAGTAAAAGAATTTGAGAAATTATACCGTCAAGTTTGAGTAATTACATATCAGTAATTACTGTCAACTTTGCAGTTTGATACCGCAAAAAACACGACAGTCCTATTTTGAAAATTTTACTCCTATTTATGTCAATTTCTGTTCATATTCCCGTTTCATGTTCGAAAATTAATCTTTGGGTGAGTTTTCAGTGATACTGGTGATGGTGGCGGCATTGGTGCTGAAATTGATTGGCTACTTGGATTGTGAGGGAGGAGGAGGTTCGACGGAGAGTAGCCCGCTGCTGCCAAAGGCGGCGATTCCGATCCTTTATGGAGCTTGCGGGGAAGAAGATGAAGAGTCCAGCAACTGCAGCCGGAGCAATTCGTCGGGGGAAGGCGGCGAGGAGTTTTACAGCAGAAAGATATGTGCCATTTGCTATGATCATAACCGGTGCTGTTTTTTTGTCCCGTGCGGTCACTTTGCTTCTTGTTATGAATGTTCCAAAAGGTATGCCCCTTACCTTACTTGACTTTTAAGAAGCATTAAGGGGAGTGTTTGTAAAGTTAAAAAGACATGTTTTTTTATCTTTTGGGTTGAAAAGATGATTGTGTGTTTTCAAACGAGAGCTAAAAACAGGAAGTGGGTGAATGGGTGTTGTGAAGTGCATCTATTATACAAAAATATTTATTTTCTCAAACATTATCAATTTTTACTTTTTTAGATTTTTTTTTCAACATTAACTATTAAGTGCATTTCCAAAATCACTTTAAAAAATCACTTGTTTAAAGTAGAAGCAATGACAAACACTCCATAATTATGTTATACTCTTCCAATTTTTGTTTTGAATCCAATTTTCTGATGTTCATTATCATTTTTTTAATATGAAAAGATTTAGTTATGCTATTCTTAAATAAACTGAATTTTGTAAACTATTCCAATCTGAAAAGTTTTACACATTCTATTCTTTTCAGATCCTCCCAAAATTATTTCCATGTTCGCTTTTAATGAAAAAAAAATACTTTGTATGTCATTCTTACATTTCATTTTTTCTAAATCTCCATGTTTGCTTTTCCAACAATTTATTGAGTCTATCCAACAAGGATTGTCTTAAAGTGTCTTATAGTCTTCTTATTATATTCAACTCACCTATTCAGTTATTTATTTCACACTGATACTACTCGATTCAAACATTTTTTAGAATGGAATGTCAAGTTTTAAAATCCCCTTTTGGAAATGAATCTCAAATCTTAATAATTCAGATATACTTTGATCCAAATTTAGATGTATTTATGGGTCGCTAATCATGTTATTAATTTGTGTGAGCAGGATTAGTGAAGGGGAAGCCAAGACATGTCCATTTTGTAGAACAGATATTCACATGATAAGAAGGCTGTTCAGTCTGTAAACCCAACCCGAGCTGGCGTCCACAATATTATTAAGGGACATCAGTGCATGCTGTTTGATTTGTATATTCTGCACACTATCTGGGAAAAAAAAGTAGTTCTGAAAAATGCTGTTAGATTTTTTCTTTTTTTTGCACACTACTTTCTGGGGCAATTTTCTGGTACTGAGCTGAATTTGTAATCTCAATTTATAGGCAAATGTAGTTCTCTGAACTGTAACATCTGTTCTCGAACAAAATCGCTCCAATTGAGCTTTGATTTGTTCAAAGTGTTAAATCAATATGGGCTTGTATAATTTTGTATTTAGTCATTAGTTGTGTATTTAGCTCTAATTTACCTTGTATGGGCCGAGTAACTTAGGGCTACCATATTATGTATATATACTCTTCTAATGATCAATGAAAGGTAGGGAAATTAATCCCCATATGTTTGTGTATCTCAAACTTAAGATGGTATCAGAGCTGCTGTGGTAATACCGATCGTATACCACTCTGCGTCAACCTCATCTTCCTCGGCCAAAGGCTTCACCAGCGTGAAAGGCAAGGCCAACGATGGGAGATACGAATTTTGATAAAATCGAGCGTAGCTCGCCTTATTACCTGAGTTCTGGGGATCAACCTGGGAACTTGATTACACATGTCATCCTCAAAGGAGATAACTATGTCAACTGGTCTAGGGCGATAACTTTATCGCTGAAAGCACGTCGGAAATTCATCTTCGTAGATGGGACAGAGTCTAAACCGAAATCAGCAGCAGGGTTGATGCACTGGGAAATGGTGAACTCGATGATCGTATCCTGGCTACTTCGCAGTATGGATTCGACTATCGTAGCTTCAATTCCGTTCCATGAAGAAGCTAAAACCTTGTGGGAGTACCTTCAAAAACGATTCAGTGAAGCTAACGGACCAAGGTTGCAGCAACTCAAGGCCTCGATTTCTGACTGTAGGCAGTCCAAGTCGATGTCAATTGATGAATACTATACTCAGTTGATGGCTCTCTATGATGAACTCTATCGATTAAAACCACTTCACGCTTGTACGTGTGGCTTGTGCACTTGCAATGTCGTGGGAAAATTTGCTGCAGACCGAGAAGAAGAACAAATGCACCAGTTTTTGATTGGGGTAGATGACGAGGTGTACGGCACTGTGCGGTCTAATTTATTGTCCCAAAACCCGCTGCCAGATATCAGTAAGGCGCACCAATGTTTTCTCCAGGAAGAGAGGTCTAGGGCTGTGGCTCGTGGTAACAACTTCCTACAAATAAAAATAAAAACTAGCTAATTAGGTAGAGGAGGGCCGGACCCGCCCCGCCCCGCATGGGGCGGGTCATGGGTCAACAAGTTTGGACCCGTGCAGGTCACGGGGCAGGGCGGACCCGCCCCGCCAAGTCACGGGGCGGGTCTGGGTCTTGCAATACCCGCCCCGCCCCGACCCATTGCCATGCCTACCTAAGGGTAAGGCCGAGAAAAGCAAACTGCAATGCTCTCATTGCAAGCAACGTAGACACGAAGTAGGAAACTGTTTCAAGCTTCATGGTTATCCCGAGTGGTGGGAAGAACGCACCAAGACAAAGAACAATCCTGGGACGTCTGCTGGGCGCGGAGGAGGAGCACGGGCACATGCGGTAGCACCATTTCTGGTGCCGGCTGACTCGAGCAGTAGTAGCTCGGGGAGTGAGGCAGGCGGCTTGCGGGGTTTGAATAAAGATCAGGTGCAGGCCATTTTAAATATTCTTACCTCCGACACTAGTGCCACTGATCGTATGACTGGTAAGAATATTTATTTGGACTGGATACTTGACACCGGGGCATCCCATTATGTTACCGGTGAATTGGCTAGGCTCACCGAGATTACTTCTATTCGGGACTGTTCGGTGCGACTGCCTGATGGCAGAAATGTAGTTGCTCATTTGGAAGGGCGTGTGCCTATCTCCAAATATTTTACACTTGATCATGTTTTATATGTGCCTGGTTTACGGTGTCATCTTATTTCTATCTCACAATTAACTGACCAGTTAAAATGTGTGGTTACTTTTACTGATTCAATCTGTGCTATACAGGACCCACGCTCGAGGAACCTGATTGGAGCAGGTGAACGAAGAGATGGGCTCTTTTATTTCCGTGGATCTTCTATTGTGCATGCTGTTACTGTGAAGTCTGTGACAGAGTTTGAATTGTGGCATCGAAGGTTGGGCCATCCTTCAGATCGTGTTATCAAGTTACTTCCTGTTATTAGTGCTAGTTCTGCTATTAAGCAACTGAATAAAGCTTGTGAGGTGTGTCCACAAGCTAAACAAGTTCGTGATTCTTTTCCTCATAGTGACAATAAAGCTAGTAGTATTTTGGAATTAATTCACTGTGATTTATGGGGACCTTACAACACGCCTTTTACTTGTGATGCTGTTTATTTTTTAATTTTGGTTGATGATTTTTCCCGATCTGTCTGGGTATATTTATTACGTGACAAAAAGGAGATGTGTCAATCTTTTATGTCCTTTGTGGCTATGATTGAAAAACAATTTAGTCGCTCTATGAAAATTGTACGTAGTGACAACGGGACTGAATTCAAAGGTTTAATTCCATATTTCGATGATAAGGGTATTCTTTTCCAGACCTCTTGTGTGTACACACCTCAACAAAATGGAAGGGTAGAAAGGAAACACCGACATATTTTAAATGTGGCACGTGCATTGATGTTTCAGGCCAATATTCCTATATTTTTGTGGGGTGAATGTGTTCTGACTGCTGTTCATGTAATTAATCGTACACCATCTGGCTTGCTTGGGGGAAAGACACCTTATGAGGTGTTGACTGGACATGCTCCGGATCACTCTCATTTACGAGTATTCGGTTGTTTATGTTTTGCTTATGATCACAAATCCAAGCATGATAAATTTGCCCCGCGAAGTAGAAAGTGTGTTTTTGTTGGTTATCCTCATGGGAAGAAGGGTTGGAAAATGTATGATTATGCTACAGGTGATATTTTTGTTTTTAGAGATGTGTTATTCCATGAACATGAGTTCCCTTTTGCCGAAGTTGCTACTGGCTCGACCGACTCTGAAGTTATTCCTACGGAACCTTTGCTTGATGAGGATTTACCATCTCCACCCATTGAGCCGAACGTCTCTACTGCCGCGGCATCCTCTACATCGCATGAGGCTAGTCAAGCCGAGCCTCCTATTGCACTAGGCCGCGGTCTGCGCGAAAAATGCATGTTCGTCTTGCTTCGAGACTTTGTTACACATCATGTACAGCACTTGAGCCCATCTCCGTCTTCACCTGTTTCACTCGGTTCCTCAGGTATGTCCTTCCCTATAGCTCATTTTGTCTCATGTGATCGTTTTTCTGCCCGTCATCGGGCGTTTCTGGGTGCTATTACTGCAGGCATGGAGCCCCGATCATTTCGGGAGGCTATGACAGACTCCGGATGGCGTGCTGCCATGCAAAGTGAAATCAAGGCTTTAGAGGACAAGCATACATGGGATATGCAGCCATTACCTCCTGGCAAGAAGGCGCTTGGGAGCAAGTGGGTGTATAAAATTAAATATCATTCTGATGGTACGGTAGAACGTCTCAAAGCCCGCCTTGTTGTCTTTGGTAACCATCAGGAGGAAGGCATTGATTATACGGAGACCTTCGCTCCTGTTGCGAAGATGGTGACCATGCGGGTTTTTCTTGCAGTAGCTGCGGCTCGGAATTGGGAGCTACACCAAATGGATGTTCATAATTCTTTTTTACATGGGGATTTACAGGAGGAAGTATACATGAAACTCCCACCTGGATTTTTGCCTTCTCAGCCTGGTATGGTTTGTCGTCTTCGAAAATCTCTATATGGGCAGGGACAACCTCCCCGGGCTGGTTTGCGAAACTTGCTGCCTCACTCCGCCGATACGGGTATGTTCAGTCTTACTCCGATTATTCCCTCTTCACCTGGTGCCGGGACACTGTTAACTTGCATGCACTTGTCTATGTGGATGATCTGATTATTGCGGGTAATGACACGGATGGTATCACCGAATTTAAGCATTATCTGCACATGTGTTTTCATATGAAGGATTTGGGGCATCTCAAGTATTTCCTTGGCGTTGAAGTTGCACTTAATGCTGAGGGCATATATTTGTGTCAACGCAAGTACACTCTGTATATCATTTCGGAGGCTGGTCTTCTTGGGGCTAAACCCGCTTTGTTCCCTATGGAACAACATCATGGACTTGCTCTTGCCAATGGGGAATTTTTGGCTAATGTCGAGCCATACAGGCGGCTAGTTGGGAGGCTCATTTACCTGTCCTTTACTCGACCTGATGTAGCCTATGTTGTTCATATTTTATCCCAATTTATGCAGGCACCATGACAAGAGCATTGGCAAGCGGCTCTTCGTGTAGTTCGGTATCTTAAGGGCTGTCCTGGGCAGGGTATTCTTCTCTCTTCATCGTGTGACTTACTTCTTTCCGGCTGGTGTGACTCTGATTGGGCTAGTTGTCCTCTTATGCGACGTTCTCTTTCCGGATGGGTCATTTTTCTTGGTAATTCCCCTATTTCCTGGAAGACTAAGAAACAACACACTGTGTCTCGATCTTCTGTCGAGGCCGAATACCGCTCCATGGCATCTATCACTGCAGAACTCAAGTGGCTTAAAGGTCTTCTTCTTTGTCTCGGTGTTGCTCATCCTCGTCCCATGCCTCTTATGTGTGATAGCAAGTCTGCTATGCATATTGCAAATAACCCGGTATTCCATGAACGGACAAAACATATTGAAGTTGACTGTCATTATGTTCGTGACGCTTTGCAGGAAGGACTACTCACCACTCATCATGTCTCTACCCATGATTAGCTCGCCGACATATTTACCAAGGCACTTGGAAAGAATCAATTCCTTTATCTTCTTCGCAAGTTGGGCATTTGTGACCTGCATGCTCCAACTTGAGGGGGGTGTTAAATCAATGTGGGCTTGTATAATTTTGTATTTAGTCATTAGTTGTGTATTTAGCTCTAATTTACCTTGTATGGGCCGAGTAACTTAGGGCTACCATATTATGTATATATACTCTTCTAATGATCAATGAAAGGTAGGGAAATTAATCCCCATATGTTTGTGTATCTCAAACTTAAGACAAAGATAATGCAAAGAAAAACTAATCAATGTCAGAAGTATACAAGTGTCGGGTTGGGACCTTTTCAATAAAAAAGATAGTAACCTTACAATTATTGTTGAGCTTTGCTAAAGGTACCCCAAAATGGGGTACCCCATTCTTACTCCACCCTAATGGGTGGCCATAAATGAAACAACTCATTAAATTGTGCCCCACTTAAATGAGTTGCCCTATTTATGGTCACCCATTAGGGTGGAGTAAAAATGGGGTACCCCATTTTGGTGTACCTTTAGCATTTTACATTATTGTATGCCTACGTCCACATGCACGTCCCTC